CAAAGCTCTCTTGGTTTTTCGGGGAAGATCCTGTTTATGGCTTGAATAAAGTGTTTTTTTAGTAACATATGCCTACCTTTGATGCACTTTCAAATATGGTGCTAGCATGAAATGTGTGGCACCTGGGGTTTGATTAGTGGTGGTTTGAGTGCATAAAAAAGGTAAAGTCGAGGAAAAAAACACACACAAAAGGCAACAAAGGTTATATAACTCCATTAAATTATGTTTATGGTCTCACTTGTCAGTATTTTGTAATACAAAATGGCCTCCCCAGGGTCTGTTTATCAGTATTTGTCACTCATTAGTGCCTACAAATTACCTTTGTTGGAGTCATGCTCTCCTGCTCATCTTGGTGTCTCATAAATCAGAGCTGTTGCAGTCGGTGAACTTTCACTGTCAGTGTCTGTGCTTTTCCTGCTGATGCATCTGGAGGTTCTAACCCCTCCCCAAAGGTCTCCAACAACTGCGACTCTGTGTTTGTGAATGGGAAGGAAATGAAGAGCAAAGTGGACACGATCGTGAACTTCACCCACCAGCACTTCACCTCCCAGCTGGAGGTCACCGTCTGGGCGCCCAGACTTCCCCTGCAGATCGAGATCTCAGACACAGAGCTGAGCCAGATCAAAGGCTGGAGGATCCCGGTGGCCTCCAACAGAAGGTGGGGCACCAGGGGGCGGGTTCCTCAGGACTGGGAGTCTCAGGCTCCTGGGGCCCAGATCTTTGGGGAAGGCAAATGGCCCAAGGGCCCAAGCCCCAGGGAAGTGGCATCCACACGGGTAACCGTAGTCTGGCATTGGGGATCAGGTGGTACTAATTAGCCTTTTGACATGAGGAGATTATAATGGGGATAATAGTATCTACCTCACAGTCTAGTTGCTAGGATTCAGGGAAATGTCACATGTAGCACAGGGCTTGGCATTTAGGATCTAGTTTCCCTATTGCCTATTGCTCATCCTGTGTTATTCATTCTTAGTCCCTGTTATAAATGGCTGCCTCGCTGGACAGGGGAAGGCAGGGGCTGCACCTCCCTTGTGTGTCCAAGGCAGCTGGCGGCATGGGTGGTACACAGAGACCACCGAAAGGGGCACTCGAATGAGTGAGGGTGCAGATGGGGAAGGACCAGTGGGCAGATGCAGGAGAAAAGCCATTCCTGTCATTCTGCACCGTCCCACGGAAACTGGGAGATGAAGTGAGTGGAACTCCTTCACACAGTGATGTCTGTTCTGATTGGTTTGCGTGCCAGGCCCACCCGAGAGAGCGAGGACGAGGAGGACGAGGAGAAGAAGGGGCGAGGGTGCACCCTGCAGTACCAGCATGCCACTGTGCGCGTCCTCACCCAGATGGTGGCTGAGTCGCCTGACTTGGGCCAGCTGAGCTACATGCTGGGCCCTGACTGGCAGTTTGACATCACTGACCTGGTGATGGAGTTCATGAAGGTGGAAGAGCCGAAAATTGCTCAGTTACAGGATGGCAGGACCCTGGTGGGTCGGGAGCCGGGAATCACCACCGTGCAGGTATGGGCTGCCCACACCTTGCCACTTCCCCCAGGCCCCACCTGTGCTGGTGAATGTCCTGGTAGGTGCTGTTGTACAAGTGTGTTATGTGTGTGTAAGAGAGTCATGAGCAACATTGGAGGACTCATCAGTTTTAATAATCTAAACTCGATTTTTGCATTTGGAGAGGGTGGGAAAAAATGCCTAATTTCTTTTACCAGTCAAAGCTAAATAAAACACAGTGCAAGCAATCTTTTCCCCACTATGATAATTTACTTTTTATATGTCACTAATAAAAGATGGCAGAACCTGAGAAAGCTAGTTTTATTTCCCTAACCTTGAAGGTTAACCATTTTTTTTACCTCTATTATTATACCTTTAATAGTGAGCAAAAAATTTTTTTCTGAAGACATGTATTTGCACTAAAAATAATTTTAGAAGTCCACAATTAAATGCTTTCTATATTACTATAATAATAGTAAAACTATTTTCTAGCCAATTTTAACAGGATAATTATGCAGAAATGGTGCAGAATAATTTTTAGTAAAATATAAAATGTTACTCAAAGTTAATTAGTCACATTTTAAGGTTGCCAAAGTTGATTTTTGACAAAGCTGGATTAAACATGTAATATTTTGTATTACTTTTCTGTTGCCATGTAGCATATCACCACAAATTTAGCAGCTTAAAGAACCACTAATTTATGAACTCAGTTCTGTAGGTCAGTCCAGGTGAATTTGGCCCAGTTCTGTGCTCCAGTATTAAGACTGAAATCAGGTGGTAGCCAGGCTCGGCACATGGGGAATTTGGGGAAGGACCCCCTCTCCAGCAATTTCAGGTAGTTGGAAGAATGTAATTCCTGATGGTTGTAAGATTGAGGTGTCTCCTTCCCTTCTGACCACCAGCCAGGGTCCCTCTTTGCTCCTGGAGGTTACCTGTGTCACTTCTTTTGTGGCCCATCATCAGTAATGGCTGAACCAAGTCCTTCTCCCACTTTGAATCTGTCTGTCTTGCCCTTCTGACACCAGCCAGGGAAAGCTCTCTGCTTTGAAGGGCTCATGTCAGCACACTGGACCCATGTGGATAATCCAGGACAGCCTTCCTATTTTAATGCCAACCTGACATAGAACATAAGTATGAGAGTGATTCCTCATATGCACAGGTTTGAGAGATCAGGCAGGACATCTTTGGGGAGCAATTCTAGAGGGTTCTGCCTACTGGATATTCCGCTCCTTTTGTTTGTCACCTCTGGCTGCAAACTAGATGGTAAAGTAAGAGGAATGTCTTCTTAGGGCACTCAGATGCCCTTTCCCACTTGGCATAACTGCTTTTTCCAGTGATGATGGAGGCCCCGTACCACCATCATTCCTACCCCTAGTGAAAGGCTCATGCCCACTGGAGGCAATATGAGCAGGAGATGGCTGTGCACCATTACCTTAAAGAATTTTACCA